CATAAAGAGTATTTTTTTTTTTCATTCTTTGATTAGGATAACCTAATGTATATCACTTTGACTGAGTATCTGCATCAAAGTCCGTCTTAAATTCAACTTTTACTCTGCATCAAAGTCCGTCTTAAACTCAACTTATGAGTTAGATAGCCTATAAAATGTCCAAATGTGTTTCGAAATATAAACTTCAATTCTTAGTCAGCGGATGATTTTTAGGGTAAAACTATGCAGTATAAAATGATATTGACTTTTTGACTAGGGTTGCGTATCCACGAAAATGTATAATTTGTGTCATTTAATCACCTACCGACAAGGTCCTCTTAGATAGAAAGAGATTCTCAAATCTCAGTCTTTCGTCACTCATAGATATTTAAAAAGTTTTTCCTCGACTTAGGTTGGACAGGATTACTCTGTACGTCTCGTTACATATCTCAACCTTATTCATTGGCTTGAGGTCACATTCCCCATTCCCGAACTAAATAAGTTATCTAGGTTATGTTCATCACACCCAAGCTAAGTCAATAAGCAAGTTAACTCGAGCTATTAGCAAAATCCAATTAGCCTCCAATTTAGCGAGCTATTAAGTCACGCTAAACCAAATTCTTACTTTTTTTTCTCCACAAATCCTAATTTGTACGAAACTAGCCTTTTGTAATGTGTTTTAATATGAAAAATGCGGGCAATTTGACATAATCAAACCTAATTTGCAACAAAGGTCAAGTAGTATAAATATAAATAAAGTAAGATGACATCTAATAGGGAGAGAAAAAACAAAANNAAAAAAAAAAAAAAAAAATTAAGAACAAAGCTACACTCATGAACAATATATTTTAGTTTGAAAAGTTTATGAACGTATGCTATAAAGTGTGTAGTTGATTATATTATGACTCTTGTCTCGAAGAGAAGTTTGGACATTAAAAGTAGTAAAACATCATAACTTCAGTCGCTCAAACACATGTAATGGGGAGTTGGAAAACAGTAATAATTATATGCAGCCATAGATATGGTAAAAGAAAAGGACAATTGTGTCTACAAAACGATGTACAAGTGACCAAAAAAACTATAAGTCTTGTGTGATAGATTCTGCACGCTTCGAAACGTGTTGAGTCTATGTGATATATAGATTCTGCACGCTTCGAAATTCTGTGTGCCAAATTTTTAATCATTGTTGTTTGATTTGAATAAATTATAATTTATTTTCAATC